AAAAATGTTCCTTAAATTTGGTTGCCAAAGAGGTTCCAGGCTTAGCACTTCTTTCTAAAATTTCACAGACATTTCCTGATTCACCTGCAGAGGTGGAAGAAAAACCTTCTTCTTTCCCTTCTTCATTTTGCTTGAATCTCTTATTTTCATGATGATCTTCAGCTGGGGATGCATTATCTCTTTTTCTTTTCATCTCATTTTCATTTTTATTTTTGAGTTCTTTTAGAAAATCTCTTAAATAGAGATAGATTTCTTTGGGATTACTTTCGATCTTTGCACGAGTAATTTGTAGACTGTTATAAAATTCTGAGGACTGTAAGTATTTTGCACTGCATTTACGATGTCTTTTCTCGATTAATTTGATGAGGGATGGCTCTTTCTTTATGTAACTTTTGCATGTCTTCAGAAACTGAAAAGAAAGTAGTAATTATATAATAATAATAATAATAACTAGAGCAAAGCTCGTTGCAAAGCAACGAGTAGGTCTTCCGTCCTGTTTTGACCGGAAGTGACGTCAACAAAAAGAAAGCAATGAGCTAAGTTGTCTCCAGTGACTTTATAATTTCAATTTTGAGTCAAAACCTTCAAAATAAGCTTTTTTGGCTACTTCTGGTTTGACAAAAAGTGATGTGAATTGACAAACAAGAGGCCCAGGGGCCACAGCGCTCACCTAAGCACATCGGGCTTGAATTTACTCCCCCCTTCCAGGCGTTCATCATTTGAACAAACTAGAATCTACACCACCTGAGGATGATTCCATATAAATACCCCGGGTATCACTAATCATAGCTTTGAAGTACTTGAAAAGAAGATTTTTAAAGGTTTCCCTATATATCCCTATGTAAAACTTGGGTCGGCCATTTTGGCCCCACCCTATCCATAGGGCCGGGGGTCATGATTTGAAAAACTTGAATCTACAATACCTGAGGATGATTCCACATGAGTTTCATCTTTCCTGGCCCAGTGGTTCTGGAGAAGAAGATTTTTAAAGATTTGAAGGAGAAGATTTTTAAAGATTTTTCCTATATATTCCTATGTAAAACTTGGGTCGGCCATTTTGGCCCCACCCTTGCCCCGGGGGTCATGATTTGAACAAACTTGAATCTACACTACCTGAGGATGATTCCTTATGAGTTTCATCTTTCCTGGCCTAGTGGTTCTGGAGGAGAAGATTTTTAAAGATTTTTCCTATATATTCCTATGTAAAACTTGGGTCGGCCATTTTGGCCCCATCCTTGCCCCGGGGGTCATGATTTGAACAAACTTGAATCTACACTACCTGAGGATGATTCAACATGAGTTTCATCTTTCCTGGCCTAGTGGTTCTGGAGAAGAAGATGTTTAAAAGATATTTCCTATATATTCCTATGTAAAAATTGGGTCGGCCATTTTGGCCCCACCCTTGCCCCGGGGGTCATGATTTGAACAAACTTGAATCTACACTACCTGAGGATGATTCCACATGAGTTTCATCTTTCCTGGCCCAGTGGTTCTTGAGAAGAAGATTTTTAAAAAATGCCATTTATTTTTAATAAATTCATGATTATCTCCCCTTGGAAAAGGACTTGGCCCTTTATTTGAACAAATTTAAATCCCCTTCACCCAAGGATACTCTGTACAAAGTTTGGTTGAAATTGGCCCAGTGGTTCTTGAGAAGAAGATGAAAATGTGAAAAGTTTACAACGACGACGACGACGACAACGACGACAACGACGACTACAACGACAGACAACGGACAAATTGTGATCAGAAAAGCTCACTTGAGCCTTTGGCTCAGGTGAGCTAAAAAGGGTACGCTGCATTTTCAATGCTTATACGATGTATATATCTTTCCAAAATAAGTGGGGGGCTTAGCCCCCCATCCCCTCCCCTGGCCCTTCACCCAGTCTCGGTGTCTATGCTATACTCAAAGCATTCATATAATAATGTATTTACCTTACTGGTAGACGTTGAAAACTTTCAATAATAAATGAGTTTATTAAAACAGATGAAAACTATAAATTTTTAAGTACAGTAAAACATATGAGAGAGTAAGAATTTTCATAGTTTTGAACAATCAAATTGGTCCCTTTTTATTATGATAAATGCTAAGTTGCTTGAAGCTGTCCTCTGTTAGTGCCCCCTATACACCTTTACATCTACTTATCAAAGACTAGAGTTAAAAAAAAATTCTTTTCTCTTTATATTAACATTTTTTGTTTCACCATCTGATTTGTTTCAGTGACCTTTAAACATGTATTTTAAATTCAAGCAGTAACCTATAGTAATTTTGTTTTATTTTTATTTTACCTTTGAATCTGAATTTCCTCTCCACTAGTCGTCCTGTGTCGGTGCTACTCTCATTGATCTCACAGAGTTTGTTCCACACCTTGACAAACTTTATGTGGTATTTTCTCGTCATAATGTATGCTGAATTTTCATCATCTAGATCAACCTCCAGTTCCTTATAGTACTCAATCTTGTCGTGGATGACCTGTAATAGTTTAACAATATCATCCTGTCCTAGTGTGCAAATTTCAAACATTGTTTACATAAATCAATGTGCAATCTATAAAAGTATTTTTAACTACAATGTAACTCATACTGGTAAATTAAAAGTGTGACACACTGAGAAGATTTATATATATCTGTATATTTGTTCTTACATTCAAAAAACTAATCTTTTTAAATCAGTCAAAAGATTACCTTCAGCAGTTTTTCTAGTCTTTCTATCTGCCTCTTTGAACCCTTTTTCTCCTTTTTAGCCCCTACTTTTACACTAGTTGATGGTTCATCATCAGTACTTTTTATGTCTGGTTTTGTTCTTTCTTCCTTAGTTTCCTCACTGGAATTGGATTTCTCTGATTTCTTCTGAGAAATGTTTTTTTCTCTATATATTTCATATAATCGATTTTGCTTTCCTCCTGTGTGACATCATCTTTTTCATTCTTTTTCTCTTTCCCTTGCAATGGATGTATATTCTCTTCAACATCCATTGCTTCCGTATTTTGAGATTCCACAGCGCTACCACCTTCCACCTTTGAGCTACTGTCAGGTGAGTAAACTGCATGCTTTGGTGACTTTAGAAAACTTTCCATCTTGTTGACAGTAGTTTTCAGCTTTTGGAAAACAACTTTATATTGACTTGGCATTATCATGGTTATTGGAACTTTACTTTGATTTTTTTCTGTTGGTTCTGTGGTAGTGGAATCAGGATATTTATCCATTGCTGATTCAGACTTGTCATCTTCTTCTTTATCAATAGAAGATGACTCATTTGACTTTTTAGACACCTTCTCATCTCCCCAATTTGAACTTTCCTCAGAAACTTTCTCTAGGTTAAAGTGTCTTTTATTTGCCAAAGTGCGTTCACTGTTTTCAACATATACTTTTTTTACATTGTCTAATATAATGTCAGGTTCATCCAAAACAATGGAATCACAAGCAGAGTCTTTATTGGTCCCTGAGATATTGTAATTGACCAATGAGCTTCCTGTACTGCTATTTGAGTAATCCTCATTTAGCACCACCTCAAAATCTTCCACCTGTTCTAGTAACACAGTGTGTTTATTGTGAATCTTATCCTCAGCATTTTCCTTATCTTGTGACACCCTCTCCTTGTTAGAAATCTCATCCTCAACATCTTCTTCTTCTTCATTAGGCACCTTTTTGAGATGTTTTTTTTCAACAGCTCCTTTCGTATCTTTCGACACTGTCACAATTTTTGGATCTTCTTCACTGAAACTTTCCAGGGATTCTATTTGAATTTCAGAGTCAGACTCACAAGTTTCTCCTCCCTCAATACCTGTGTTACCTTGATATCTATCACATTTATAAAAATGTTCCTTAAATTTGGTTGCCAAAGAGGTTCCAGGCTTAGCACTTCTTTCTGAAACTTCACAGACATTTCCTGATTCACCTGCAGAGGTGGAAGAAAAACCTTCTTCTTTCCCTTCTTCATTTTGCTTGAATCTCTTATTTTCATGATGATCTTCAGCTGGGGATGCATTATCTCTTTTTCTTTTCATCTCATTTTCATTTTTATTTTTGAGTTCTTTTAGAAAATCTCTTAAATAGAGATAGATTTCTTTGGGATTACTTTCGATCTTTGCACGAGTAATTTGTAGACTGTTATAAAATTCTGAGGACTGTAAGTATTTTGCACTGCATTTACGATGTCTTTTCTCGATTAATTTGATGAGGGATGGCTCTTTCTTTATGTAACTTTTGCATGTCTTCAGAAACTGAAAAGAAAGTAGTAATTATATAATAATAATAATAATAACTAGAGCAAAGCTCGTTGCAAAGCAACGAGTAGGTCTTCCGTCCTGTTTTGACCGGAAGTGACGTCAACAAAAAGAAAGCAATGAGCTAAGTTGTCTCCAGTGACTTTATAATTTCAATTTTGAGTCAAAACCTTCAAAATAAGCTTTTTTGGCTACTTCTGGTTTGACAAAAAGTGATGTGAATTGACAAACAAGAGGCCCAGGGGCCACAGCGCTCACCTAAGCACATCGGGCTTGAATTTACTCCCCCCTTCCAGGCGTTCATCATTTGAACAAACTAGAATCTACACCACCTGAGGATGATTCCATATAAATACCCCGGGTATCACTAATCATAGCTTTGAAGTACTTGAAAAGAAGATTTTTAAAGGTTTCCCTATATATCCCTATGTAAAACTTGGGTCGGCCATTTTGGCCCCACCCTATCCATAGGGCCGGGGGTCATGATTTGAAAAACTTGAATCTACAATACCTGAGGATGATTCCACATGAGTTTCATCTTTCCTGGCCCAGTGGTTCTGGAGAAGAAGATTTTTAAAGATTTTTCCTATGTATTCCTATGTAAAACTTGGGTCGGCCATTTTGGCCCCATCCTTGCCCCGGGGGTCATGATTTGAAGAAACTTGAATCTACACTACCTGAGGATGATTCCACATAAGTTTCATCTTTCCTGGCCCAGTGGTTCTGGAGAAGAAGATTTTTAAAGAATTTTCCTATATATTCCTATGTAAAACTTGGGTCGGCCATTTTGGCCCCACCCTTGCCCCGGGGGTAATGATTTGAAGAAACTTGAATCTACACTACCTGAGGATGATTCCACATGAATTTCATCTATCAATGAAAGTTTCATTTATATGATTTTGACATGTTTCTTCATTAATTAAAACATTTTTTGCTTGCTTAAAACAAAATGCGACCAGGCAATGCACATTCAACCGGCAAGGTATGAAATGGCGACATCGCATTTTACACGATTCCGGGCTTCCTTTTGTGTAAATACTCGAAGAAAAAATATCAAAAAATATAACAGATTATGTTTTTTTGTGTGGCAAAATATGTTAACATAAAGGGTCCAGGAATAATTTTAATATCAGTAACCATAGCTTTGAAATGTATTGGCGACATCGCGTTTTTTCAATTGTACGAATTATACGGGAATGACTGATTATTGTCTTTCATAATAAAGTAATGTGGTACTTTCTCTATGCAAATAAAAATATAACTATACAAAAGATTCATACCTCTGCTTCAAATTCAAACAAGAGGCCCAGGGGCCATATCGCTCACCTGAGTGTAAGACCTTTACTTGCAAGAATTATGCATGTAGATGTTGAGTATGAATTTCTTTTTATTCATTTTCTGTAATTGGGCTTGATCTGAGCATAAAATTGTTTAGAATGGCTTTCTTTTCAACCAGTGCTTAATTAATGCTTACAGTGTACCTCATTATCAATTTAGTCATAAAGAGGTCAATCTCAGTATTTCTGCGGAATATAGCACTTGTACTGTCAACTCTGAAGTGTACTATGCTTTTATTGAACAATAACATTTCTCTCCTTTTTGGGGGGTGTAACATTAGCTATGATAGTTACTGTGGAATCACAAATTTTCATGGGGGGTTAATTTTCGTTGTTTTCGTGGTATGACAAGACCCACGAATTCATGTCTACAACGAAATGTAAAATTTCACACACATAAGTACTTATTGATTCTTGATCCACGAAATCAAATCCCCACGAACCAAGAAATTTTCCTCAAACCACGAAAATTTGACCCCACGAAAATATGTGATTTTACAGTATAATAAAAACAGAAAATGCGAATAAGATTTTACTTTTATTTCTTTACAAAATTCAACAGATTTGGTGAAAATTTATCATACAATTAGTAGAGAATATAATGAAAACTAAGAAGCGTTAATAACAATCAACTATCTAAATTTCATATGATTTCAACAGACATATATAATCACAGTATCAAATATGCAATATTGCAACAATTTTGTGACAGAAATGCAAAACTTCCTGACAATAACATTACATGTAAACATAGATGCTTTTTAAACAGTTCAAAATTTGTTTAGAGGAAAGTTAAATACATCAAGGTAATCGTTTGAAAGATACAAAATATACTGTATTTATTTTTAAGTTCACTTAATAGTAAATCTTTCCTATACATAACGAAAGCGAAAATTGGAAAGATTCCAACTGAAAGTGAATAATTATATGAATAATTATATGACACTGACTTTGAACATCAACTATTATTTTTAAAGAATTTTTAATAAGTAACATTTACCGGTAATTGGAGTACCTGCAGGAATCAGATAACCTAAACTTGATGGTAATATTCCAAAATGGAGTGATTAAGATTTTTGCAATCAATAATTTTGATTTTAAAGCCCAGTCATGAGAAATTATAGTGATCCACCTTTTTTTCCGTCTTTTAAAGGAAAAATTGTAATGTTATAAAGAGGTAGGTTTACCTCCCTTTACGGGCTGGCCATTGACCCCCTCTTTTCATACTTACCTGGGTATAAGTCGATTCTCATGAAATTATAATATAATGGTGGTCACATATTAAATATCTCAATGCTGGAGAAAATTAAATATCAATTAGTATGGAGTTAACTGAAATCAGCAATATACTAGTAGCTTAGAATGAGTTGTCAGTTTCTGTCTGATTATGCAGGTTGCTTTCCTATTCTACACAGGTATAAGCTAAAGCTAGTAAAAGTAAATGTTTAAAGCTGAATGACTTGAAATACAAAAATACAATAAACTTAACATTTTAAGACAAAAAAAATCCAAAAAGATAAAAATTCAAGACAAATTATTTCAACACAAAGTTTCATATATACAATGAACATACATGTAAATGATGTTAAAAGAAAATATTTGCTCTGGGAAAAATATTAATTCATATACACTGTAAAAATTTATACTCTCATGTACTCCAGTATTGTTCAGCAGGGACTAAATGACACAAGACATAGTAACATTTTTAAACTTACAATATTTCTATACAGCAAAATTTTATATGAACAGATGCCGGTAATATTCGATGAATTTACTTCATAAAATTATAGAATACAGTGTTGAACATATATCAAAGATACCAATTACTTGATGCAAGTGCAACTCTAATCATTATTAAGCAGAACTCATTATTTTCTTTAAAGTAAACTTTGTAAACAATTCATGTAATCTCAAAATATTTCATGTATACCGGTATTCAAAATACAAGTTCATGATATTCATATGTATAATCATTAAAGAAAAGAATCTAAACAGTAAGGGTAAAACTATTATCTCACAAACATCAATACAGTATATTCATAATTTCTAAATATTAATTAACACATAATATATACAATGATCATCATTTTTTTTTTACATGAATGATTGTTATTGATGGTACATAAATTTCCCTTAACATGCAACATTCAATTATTTGTACATTTATTGTCTGTTAAAAATTAACCCACAATAAAAATTCATAATGAAGGATTCCTGTTTAGTACAATCATTTTAGTACAGTTATTTGCAAATTTTTAAGGCTATTCAATGCATACATATAAAAAATAGTTTAAAGTTACTAAAAACAAACAAGATTTTACATCAAGTAATTGGTGTCTATAAGATACTGTATACAGGGAAATATTCGCCCCATTTCATTTTTCCCACTGTCATCCATCTGAGGTAAGACAAATTTAAAACAGGGTAAATTAAAAGAACACGTAGTATGATTTCTTCAATAATACTGTGAGTGGGGATAATTTAAACGCTGAAAAAATTGTGTGAAAGGCTGAAAATAACACAGCCAGGGCGAATATAACCCTGTATACAGCAATCAATGTACCAAATGTCACTAAGTGACACTGGCACATCGATAGGTGGGAGAGGGGACAAGATGACGTATCTCCCCCAAATAAATACTCTTGCGTCCCTTATATCAGATTTATAAAGAATATGTACAGTAAATCATTTTATGGTCCGACCAATATGCCTCAATCACATCAGTTTCACAATGAGGGAAGTTTGTGAAAATCAAATCAAGTTGTGAACCTGAATCATGAGTTACCTTTTTGATCAATTGTGTGCATTTTAAATTCAACTTCATAAAGTTCAGAAATTCTTTGTGACCTGTAAACAAATCAAAATTGAAATCTCCAAGAATTATCAATTTTTTCTCTGTGTCTACAAAAGGTTTCAAGTGCAACATAACTTCACGTTCAAATTCTTTAAAAGAACATGCTGGGAACTTGTATAAAACAACTATCTGCACTTCTCCAAGGTCTCTGAAATTTATTAAAGCTATGATGAATTCAAGCAAAGTGTTACTGAATTTTGAGATACATGTCATCAAATGGTCTTGTTTAACATATAATGCTGTTCCATGATGAGGCCGATTGCTGTCACTTCTCTTTTCATGATTAAACAAAGTCAAGTAACCTTCCATCATAAAATTCTGTTCATCATTGATGGTTAGTCTTGTTTCTGAAAAACCAATAACATCTGATGCTACAACATTGGGTTCATTTTTAATTTCATCAAAATGTTTGTGAAGAGATCTTGCATTATTAAACATAATTTTTAGTTTGTTCTGCTCTGTTTTGTACGATGGAAGATAACACAGCTTTAGAGGTGCTTCCTTCCTCATTCTTTCCATTTCTTCTACAACTTTATCATCAACAGTTAATGCTTGCTCATTGAAATTCAGAATATGCAATTTGTCAACAGATCTAACTCTACTAAGAGCTACATAATGAATGTGGGGTGTTTTCCTTATCCTTGACTGAGATAAATCTACTACAATTTCATCAACAGTGCAGCCCTGAGCCTTATGAATTGTCTTACCTGCAGCTGGTCTTAAAGGAAACTGTATTCTTTGATATGTAGTTGAATTGAAAACAAAAGATCGCTGACAGTCAAATATCGGTGTCCAATCATCCATAA